ATTTGGTGCCCTATAAATGGACACGTTTACCAGGGCAGTCCCACAGCAGCCATTCAGTGTCGACTGATTTTAAGACAGTTAAGGTTACTGTTGCTTTGCCCCATTTTGATGCTACTGCTTCTACAAAGCTGGCTGGTGCTGGAAAGGAAGGGCCGAGGTGTATGATTTGTATCCTCCACAACTAGTGCTTTAACATCCCCAGGTGAAAGGAGAGAATGCAACCTATCTTACTCCTTGAATATGCTTCTTTCTTTTGCTTTCTAAAATAATTGTTTACTGGCAGTTTAGTGCCTAAAATTAGGCCACCATTACAAATCATCTTCAGTGCTACTGCAGAAAGATGAATGTAGCTGAATTTTCCTACACATGGAGATGCAGCTGGGATTCAGAGCCACATGAAGTAGGAGTGCTGTCCTGAGTTGCACAGGCCTGCCCTGACGCATCTGAACTGTGGAGTGTATGTGCATGTGTGACATTTCTAGAACTAATCATCCTGGCAGAATGACTCCTGTAATGGGTATTGATTTATAGCTGGATGTGGGAGAGTTTGTTCATGTTGTCATAGAGCGGTTGAAATTGAGTTTTGTCAATTAGCAACCACTTTGCCTCCTCTAACTGAGAAGTATATGAACAAAGAGGAATTTCAAATTTTTGCCTTAGTTTTCCATATTGCTTAGAGAAGGAAGTGAGGGAAATGTCAGCTTTTTCCACTCTTCCCTGCTGTGCCCTTCTTCTGCCTTTGGAAAGAGTGGCTCGGGTTAATCATCAAAGGTAAGATATTAAGGAAAGAATCCAGTAGTGGGAGAAGCGATTTATGAAGGCTTCTGTGCTTTAAGGTCATGAGTCAGGGATTCCTTCCTTGAAATACTTAGCCCTTAGGCTGCATTCCCATCTTTGCCTGCTTCTTTGTAGTCCCACTGACGTTGGTGGACTGGCATGTGGGTAACTGAATTGCTCCTAATGATCCTCACACATTATGAATCTGAATGGCTTCTTGGATTTCTGCAGAGCTGCTTCAAGGGTGCAGGGTGGTGACTGTGAAGACAGAAACAAAATCTTATGAAAAAATCTGACCAAGTCTTGGGCAACTGCTAGCCAGAGAGAAGAGAGGTGAGGGGAAGGGAATAGACAGAACAAAGGTGGGATGGCTATTTGGTAGCTCTTATCAATTAATTTATAATTATTTATAAATGTGTACACAGCCACATGCATACAAACTCCTTTTTTCTGTTTAGCATTTTGATTACAGTGAGGCCCTTTAGTACTAGTCACTGTATATACACATATAGACACATATGAAATCAAGGTACTTTTCTAATAATGCATAACCCAGCGGCTGAGGCATTACATATATGTATTTATAGCATATATACAGAATGATGCAATGCATACATATATGAATTACAGTATTTGTAAAGATGAACTTGCTGCTAAAAAAAATTGGAATACAGTAGCTGAAACTGTATTACTACAGTGTATTACATATCCCTTAAGGGTTACAGTTATGGGACATAAAAGCTAATTTTAGTCAAGAAGCGGCATATGTTGTCTGAGTTCCATGAGTAGACTGCTGCCAGTATCCTTTATGGTAGTGAGCCTAAAGAGAATTTGGATGGCCCCATTACAGCTCTGCAGTTTTTAGACAAGCTCTTAATGGCACTGAAACCCTGGATAATAAAAGCATTTGTTAAGTCATAGACTTTCTATTTAGTCTCATACTCAGCAAGCAAAAGAAGGCTGTGGGAATACTATGTTACATTCAGAAAAATTTTAAAAGCAAACAAACAAATTTTTATCTCACGATTGTGCATCTGCTGGTATCAGGATATATTTAGCTGTGTTTATACAGAAAGTAAACTGCAACAAGAATCAGTGAAGTACTCTGATGGGATCTTTTTTAAGAAACATTTTAGAGTGAAAGCATGGTTGGACATTTTTATTGCATGAAATTGGAAACTGCTTGAAACAGGAATATTGAGTTGGTTTAATTTTGTATTCATCACATAAACAAAATACAATAAAAATACTGAATAAAGCAAGAAAAGAACATTTAATAATAAAAATATAGTCATGTTCAAAGGTCTAAAGAACTCTTGAGGTGCTATATATGCATATAATATTATAGAAGTGCACTACAAACCTAGTCTGGAAGCCCGGATTTTTATTTTATACTAATGGTTGGACAAATAGCAAAGAGCAGATAGGGAGACCACCCTACTTTCATTACACCTTTAAAGATGCTCTTATTCTAAATACATAAACATTATTACTTGAAATAGATACTACTTATTGCTGCTTTTACTTATTATTTTTACTGAGAACATAACTGTGCTTCCTTTTTGCCCAGCAATTTCCCTTTTGTAATATAGTGATATGGTTCTGCATAACCCCCTGCACTGTACACGTTTCCGGGTGTTCCAACCACTACTGACAAAACCTAACATATCTCTTTTTTATGTGGCCTGTTATGTTTGTCAGGAAAAGGTGAAGACAATGAATTTTCCTCCATGACTAAGGTCAAAAAAGTTCTTTCTGACAAAATATCCTTTCCTTTTGCAGTAAGCTTACACATTACTCTTCCTATGCTGATAGGCTGCCAAGGCTTTTTTATTAACAGCTAGAAATTTTGGCATGGTTTCCCCTCAGATCTGAGTGGATTGTTAATACGTTTGATGCAGGCACATATGAGGCAACCGATTTATCATGCTTGAGTTTTTGTGTCCTTGACATTTATATCTTAAAAATCAAAGCAGCCTGGAACTGCACAGCACTTCATTGCAAACAGGAGGTGTAGCCCTGCAGACTTCAGTTATTTAGCCTGGATTTAGTGGTAAGGGGCAAATATCTGTAAAGCAGCATACATTCCTTTCACTTATATGTCATATTTAGAACTCTGAAGATGTATTCTTTCTGATAGAGCGGTGTCAACAATATCATAAGACGATGTCTGTCACATTCAGATTACTTTTGTTATGATCCATTTCAGGGCAAGATTCAGTACCAACCTGTCAAATGGGAGGCAGGGTACTCCAGATGTAGCAGCTGCAGAAAATATCAAATACCATGCTAATTATTTTTTAGCTTCTATTCAACAGGTGAAGAAATTCTTAGACTGTCCTAAACTACACTGGTGAACTGAAAGGGAAGGCGAAGTAGGGGCAATCAGACATGTCAAAATGGCTTGACTTCCCTAAATCTGTCCAGTAAAAGTCTTCTTTTGTATCAGCAAAATAATCTGAAATGTTAGGTAGCAAGAAAGGAGACCCCAGAAATGCCTCAAAAGACCATTTTGGTCCTATTTGTGAAAAAGGATTATAAAAAAAGCTTTTCTCCATAGCAGACAGAAGAATGGAGTGACTTTCTAGGATGCTCTTAGTTTGAGATTACAGAGCCAGAAATACAAGCTCAATGAAACTTTTGGCCAGATTTACAGAATAGCTTACCAAATGTAACTCTGATGGAAATAAACAGTAAGAAGGGAAGAACAGTCTCCTGGCATCTGGTAGGCACTCCAGTCCCTGGAAAAATCATTCTTTTTGTTAACATGATTTATAGGATGCCATCAGGATTGGTTGTGCTCGAAAATCTGATACTAAAGTTGTGAAGATTCTCGTGTGACAGGAAAAGGCCCAAATGAATCTATATATTGGGACCAATAAAAAGGGAAAGAGTCAGTTCTATAATAATATTCTAGGAATACAGGTGGAATTTTATTAATCTTGCATGGCGTTGCCAGTGCAGAAAGATCACTAGAAAATGCTACTGTGCTTTGTCCAGAATGAATATACTACTCCTGTTTAGAAGAGACAGATATAATGATAATTGGTTATATAGCAAAATGGCTGTCAGATAAGAATATTACAGCATACAGTTAAGAGACAAATAAAATTTCATTACTTTTACAAGCTTTTACCTTGCTTCCATATGTGATGCTACCAAGGTTTTGCCAGTGACTGGAGCTAGAGATACAAACAGCTGAAGAGAAGAGTTCTCTGAAGAGTAAAGGTGATCAGTCTTCCTGAAGAAGACAGGAAGAATAAGATTATACATGTTTTTTCAGCCTCAAAACTCTCATTATGATGAAGCTTTGTCTGCCATTGTACTTGAGGTCCTGTCCTTTATAAAAATGTCTGGTTCAGGGAAGATTTTAGATATTAGAGAAGATAATCATAAAACCAATTATTTTCCAGAAGAAATAAATTTAAAATGTAGTTGCTCTAGAAGAACATAGCAAATGTATAAATGTATAAATGTAAAAGACAGATCTTTTCCTTTCTTTGAAACTTTCTGTGCAGAAAATTTGCATCTAGATATATTTGCATCTGGTTTTGCTCCTACTGTTTCTGCAGATTTCTGAATAAGTACATAGCTGCAACTTTCACATATTCTTTAGTCTTTAATGGGTACTTCGGTTCAAGAAAGGATTAAAACCTTGGTTAAAAACTGGCTGGATGGCAAGGTCCAAAGAGCGGTGGCAAATGGAGTTACATCCAGCTGGTGGAGAGACACAAGTGGTGTTTCCCAGGGCTCAGTTTTGGGGTCAGTTCTGTGTAACATCTGCACCGACAACCTGAATGAGGGGATTGAGCAGCTCCTCAATCAGTTTGCAGATGGTACCAAACTGGGTGGGGTTGTGGACCTGCTGGAGGGCAGGAAGGCTCTGCAGAGGAATCAGGACAGTCTGGATCCATGGGTCAAGGCCAGTGGTATGAGGTTCAATAAATAGAAGACCCAGGTCCTACACTTGGGTCCCAACAACCCCATGCAGTGCTACAGGCTTGGGGAAGAGCACTTGGAAATCTGCCTGTTGGAGGTGCTGGTTGACAGAAGCTGAACATGAGCCAGCAGTGTGCCCAGGTGGCCAAGAAGGCCAATGGCATCCTGGTCTGTATCAGCAATAGTGTGGCCAGCAGGACCAAGGCAGTGATTGTCCCCCTGTAGTCAGCACCGATGAGGCCACGCCTGAGATCGTGTGTTCAGTTTTGGGCCCCTCACTACAGGAAAGACACTGATGTGCTGGAGCATATCCAGAGAAAGGCAGCAGAGCTGGTGAAGGATCTGGAGCACAAGTCTTATGAGGAGCAACTGAAGGAGCTGGAGAAGAGGATTCTCAGGGTGGACCTTATTGTTCTCTACAACTACCTGAAAGGAGGTTGTAACCAGGTGGGTGTTGGTCTCTTCTCCCAAGTAACAAGTGACAGGACAAGAGGACATTGCCTCCAGTTGCACCAGGGGAGGTTTAGATTGGATATTAGGAAAAATTTCTTCACTGAAAGGGTGGTCAAGCATTGGAACGGGCTGCCCGCGGTAGTCGTTAAGTCACCAGCCCCAGAGGTGTTTAAAGACATGTAGATGTGGCACTTGGGGACATGGGTTAGTGGTGAAGTTGGCAGTGCTGGGTTAATGGTTGGACTCAATGATCTTAAAAACATATTCCAACCTAAACAACTCTATGATTCTATGATTATTAGGGGACCATTTTGTTCAAGGTAATTTATTTTGTAGTGTTTCATGTTGAGTCCACGAGACCAGATGTACCAAACCCATAAATTTTGGTTGTGTTTCATGTATATCGCTTCAGCTATACTTGACTAAAATGAGATCATTGAATACAGTTCAGAAATTTCTGCTTGTTCACCCAAACTACAGTTTAGTGAAAGTGATTTAAAAATATGCTGGTAGTGCCAGCAAAATCAGAGCATCTTCACTGCTCTGCATACTACTGAGCTTTTTCGCTTCTTTTTTTTTTCTTTTTTCTTTTTTTTTTTTTTGCTGTAATTTAAACTTTTGTCACTTTTCCACGTCAATCCTCTCTCAGTTGGGTATGATTTTATAGTTTACCAGGTTTCTATTGATGTCATACAGGACAGAGACTCTTCAAGAAAGTCAGCGTAACAATCCTTGCCTGGAATTTCATCAGATTTGTATGTCTCTTTGCACTTTGGCTTAAACAAGTAAAAATTCAACAAGTATTCTTTATCTTAACTAAATATGCCTGGTTTTAATAAAGAAAAACAAGAATGCTACTAATGCAATTACTAACTTTTTTTGTAGTTAATGCTCTTCCAGTGCCCTGTTGGTCTACATTGATAGGGAGATAATTGGTTTATGTGCTAAGAAAGCTGATTATGCTGCGCAGACAGAGCAGGAGGAGCGTCTGAAAGATGTAGAAAATATGTAGACCAGAAGGATCACCACGTGGGAAAATACCTATGACCTGTGCAAAATCTTCATTAGTGTAAAATCAGTTTAAAATTAGTTTAAAATCTTCATTAGTTTAAAATCTTGCATAATTCTTTGCCCACCATGCTTCATTACTTATAAATGCTACAGATGATGTGCACTGCTGTGTTATCTTCCAAAGAAAAGGGCATTGGAGGAATGAGATATGTATTAGAGGGGCTGAAGTCACTGGGTTTGAGCCTGGAACACAGCAGCCTGAAGCAACGACAGAGGGAGGGAAGATCATGGACTGTAGCCAGCAAAGGCTACAGGTAATGAAGAGAGGTCAGAGTTGTAACTAAACTAGTATTTGTGAGAGCCAGAGTCTCTCCTTTTCTTGAGCTTTGTTCCCTTACTTCCCTTACAGACAATTCGGAAAAGAGTAATTTTGTAAATGATTGCCTGAACAAGCAGGATCAGGAACTGCTATTCACAGTAAAGTTCTAGCAAAATACAGAAGGAAATCAGACACACCTCTGTGCCCTAATTGAAGTAAGGCTCCACAGGAAGGAATTCTTAAATCAGACCATACACTCCACAAAGAAGAGGTCTAATACATTTACATCTTAACTGTTGCACTTTTGTGACTAAGTTTAGTCTGTCAGTTCATATCTAGTTAACTATGAAAGAAAATCAAACACTGTTGCTTCAAAGGCAGAGTGAGTTTGATACTGCCTGATCTGTCAAGCCAGAATACCTGACATGCAAATTAGGATCCAAAACATTCACTCTTATGCTTAGCTAGGTGCAGGCAAGATCAAAGGGGCTCCCAAAACCTTTGAATTTATTGAAGGGAAATTGGGAAATTTGTCTAGAGCTTGTAGAAGGGCAGAGAGGGCCCCGAGTAGAGACATGGGCAAAACTGCAAATGACATAGTGATAAAAAAAATCCAGAAACCTTTTTCCTCACCCAAATGAAATTTCTTAATCAACATTCCATTAGTAAAATTGTGAAGAATCTTTGATTGACATCTTTGATATGGTGATGAGGTCTCTCACAATCCATCTTCAAAATTATTCAGAGTATAAAGGACTGGGATATGAGGGTCTTTGAATACCATAGGCCATAGGCTCTTTCTTTTGCTTGATACTAGGTGTCCTAGGGAATTGAATAATAAGTCTGAAAGTTGCCTAAAAGACTGTTTTTAAAAATTGATAGCCCATCAAGAGAAAGACCCAAGGAAGTAAGATAAATATTTTTGTGTTATAGAATATCCAAATTTTTAACCACCTCCTCAATTGTTACAGAGCTCAGAGTAGGTATCACAGAATCACAGAATACACCAAGTTGGAAGGGACCCACAAGGATCCATTTCCTCTAAACTAACAAGATTTTCAATCTTTAAATAAACCTTGTCTGGAACAAACCACTTGTATCATACTCTTGTATTTTGGATTTACAAGTAGAACAGTTTCAGGAGTGAAACGGCACTAAATTTCTAATAGAGTTAGACCTTAAAACATTAAATCTTAAATCCTTGGGTGCTAGTCCTTGGTGTCTTCTGCTTGGCATTGGACAAGAAAGCAGTAGACGAAAAGTGCTTTCTCTTCAGTATCTTAGGCTAAAGGGCCTAAATAAGGGTTTAACCAGCACTAACACAGAATATTATACTAAAAATACTTCCAAGAATGCATTGAAATTTGCTAGACTGCTTAGCTTTGTCTCTCCTAGCAGTGTCAAAAAGACCACCAGAACTGTTCAGCCTTGCGAACAGATGACTGAGAGGGGACCTCATCAGTGTCTGAAGGGAGGGTGCCAAGAGGATGGAGCCATGCTCTTCTCGGTGGTGCCAAGCAATAGAAGAGGCAATGGGCAGAACTTGGAACACAGGAAGATTCACCTGAGCTTGAGAAAGAACTTTTTTACTATGTGGGTACCAACCATTGCCTGGAATGTATTTTGTCTTTTTTGTCTTAGAACACCACTGTGAGGCAGAAGTACTTTTCTCCTCTCTTGCCAAAGGAAATCAAGAACAAACATCTATGGTGCGTTTCATGTGTTAGAAGTTCTAAGTTTTGATTTTAGCTCAGTCTTTCCAAATGCAAGTGTACACCAGGGCATGAAATCTAGAAGTGCAATTTGACGGTGTCTGCACTGTAAGAATCTTCACCTGAACAGTGTCTGAACTCCTACTATAACCAGTGAAGAGCTAATCAGGGCAGGCAGGGAGCTCAGGGAGGCTTTCAGTTGACCAGATGTGTTTCCCTATAGACACCTGTCTATATGCAGACATGTATGTAGACACCTACTGGGGGAGAAAGTAGAACTAGGCAACCTCAAGTGCAGTTGGTATCTCTGGTATCTGGTATCTCTGTATCCTGGCTGAGTCCGTCACAATATTCAGCAACAGCCCTTCTTGGTGTGTCCTGTGGCTAATGGAGAACAGACATGTCAGCCAATGGGTTCGTGACTAGTGTGGAAGTTGCAGTGGCCCTATACCACATGTGGCACAGACAGCTGGTGTCTGTAGGTAGCCAGAGCTCAAGCAGCCTCATCCTTTTAACAGGGTGGTCACGGACTAAGTACTAAGCGAGGCAGATAAAGGAACAAAACTCTGTCAGGAAATATTCTGGCTATTACCCCATCCTCTGTCCTATGGGATAATACAGATATAAACAGAGTGACTCAGACCGGATCCCACGGGAGTCAGGCCCTGAACTCCTTTGGGATATTGTCTCCACATGAATTATTACAGGTTATACAGGAAGTCTTTGCAGCAGAATATAAACAAACTGTGGCATCTCCAATCTTAGGCTAATGTTTTGATACCTAGATAATCCATGGTGAGGTGGCTCGTGAATATTTTTTATTTTTCTGAAGTACTCTAAAACACTTCTATGAGATCTAGAAATAAATCTGAACTGGCTGCTAACTCTTTACCTCTGTTTTAATTGAATCAGGAATTATTTTGAAATCTGCCATTTTATTAAGGACCACGGATGTCACAAATGAAGAGACAGAGCAGTGTTATATGCACCTTGTGCCTCTGAGTAAAGGTTCTAAATTTGCTCATTCTCGGAAAAAAAATGCAACATGTTCTATGCTGGTTGTAGCACATGTACACAGAAAGACTGCATGCCTCTGGCTTAGGCTGGAATGGGCATGGAAAGATGACTGTGAACGGAACATGTGAATTCAGTGCAGTCAAGGATGACATAGGTGGTTTGTGAAGTTTAGTTTGTATATATTACATAAGGCAGATGTAAAAAAGTTTTCATGTTCATCACCTTAGAATGTGCAGCAATGTGCAGATAGATCATGATTTTACATAATCTGTGTTCCCCAGTGTTGCACAGTACCTCAGGTGCCTTCCCCCTTCTATTGCCAAAGGTCTCCTGTTGGCCCTTCTGGACCCTGCTTTTCCCTACCAGCTGGGCACTCCCGCCCCCAAGCTGCCCCTTAGCCTCAGGCCTTTTCCCTTGGTGCCCCCACATGGTTGTTCTCATGCTGTTATTCCCATGGCCTCACCCTAGCAAACCAGCTGCTGTGGTGGTGGTGGGTTGTCCTGGGGAGTGACCAGCATTGGCCAAGACTGACCCTCTCACGCTACTGTCTCCCACCCCTCGGCTGTAGGGTCTGGCTGACCTGAGGAGACCCATGATGGACTGCACAAAGCCTTCCAACTGGTCAGCACACAGCGCTGCATGCACGCCCTAATCAACGCTGACATACACAGAAACAACAAACACAACAGGGCCTGGGGCAGGTCCTGAGGTTACCCCGGGCATCACTGCAGGGAAGGCAGGATGGTGGGCGGCACCAGCTGTCCAGGGCAGGATGCTCATCAGAGGATCTGCCATCCCTCCTTTTCTCAGCTGTCCACTAAGAGCTATTTTTCTCTCTCTCTTCCACTCTTCCCATCCCAAAAAGTAACATTCAGTATGAGAGGTACTGTAAGCCACCAGCTGTGAATAATTGCCCCTGACAATAACACTTTGTG